CCGCTCTGTGCTCTATTGCTCTGTTTTATTGTTTTTGTTATTGTGTGTGACGCTGCAGATCAAACTTGAAGCCTCCCTAGAACTGTGAAGCTCAAGTCGTTATCTGGGGAGTTTGTTTTCATTTGCTTGTTTTGGTTTTGGAACTGTGTTTTTTAAATTGGTGTGTGTGTGTGTGTGTGTGTATGTGTACGCACACATATGCAGGCTTGACTGTGGAGGTCAAAGGACAACTTGCAGGATTCTGTTCTCTCCTTCCACCACGTGGCTTCCAGGGCATCAGGGTTGGCCGGAAACACCTTTAGATGCTGAGTCACCTCACCAGCTCTGTGTTTGACATAGGATTTGTCTAGGCCATGCAGGCTTTGAACTTGCCATCCTCCTGCCTGAGCCTCCTGAGTGTTGGAACTGCAAGCCTGTGTGCCCAAGCCCCGCTCTGAGTCATTTACGTCAATAAACACCCTGCTTCTTGAGGTAGGTCACTTACCTAAGCTGTGGCTCCCACTTCCTTCACCTGTCTTTGAACTTGATCATGGCTACCTGCATCATGTGACTTTAGTTTTATTATTATTTTTTTTTCCCCTCTCTACGGAACACATCGGTCTTTTACATGATAGTTGGGTTTTCATCATGAGGAACCCACCAAACTTTTGCTTGTTTGTTTTTGAGATGTGGTCTCATTATGTAGCCCCCTGGCCGGCTCAGACTTACTGTGTGGACCAGGATGGTTCTGGAACCTTTACCCTTCTTCCTGCCTCTGCCTTCCTAATAGTGTGTGCCACTTTACACAGATCCCCCGTCATAAACGTATTTTCTCTGAACTTTGATGCCTGAAGGTTTAGTGTTCCTGTCTGTGTGGAATCTGGACTCCCTCAGGGCATGGATCAGGCCAGCAGAGCACCTGCCCCCGTCTCTTAACCCAAGACATCCCTGATTTTCCAGCTGCTGAGGTTGACAGACTGAGTCATGATAGAGCAGAGAGTTCCTGATAACCCTGCAGAATATCACTGTTGTCTGTGGGAAGGACCTTTGCATCTGCCTTCACTGCAAGGGTTGCTCCTTCTCCCACAGACGCCCCCATCACGGCTCCCTAGCAATTAGGGAATGGTAGACCCTGTCACCTGCTCCCAACAAGACTCTGTTTCCTTAGACCAAATGCTTTCCATCCAGTGGCTCTCCCTGGGAGCTTGCACAGGGCGTGGATACCATGGAGAAGCTTTGGTTCTCTCCATGGACGATTATTCAATGAGCACATTGTAAGCAAGGGATTTCCTATTAGCACTGAGAGCTTTTATAGGAGATGACTTTTGTTGATTTTGTTTCTTTCTTTGTTTTTGTTTTCCAGACAAGATTGCTCTACTGAGCAGCTGGCCTGGACCTCCCATAAGCCTCTGCCTCCATAGTTAGGGCATTAAAGGTGTGCCACCAAATCTGGCTGTTTATCTAGATTTAATTAATCATTTATTTATTTATTTATTTATTTATTTAGTCTCTCTGTATATGTAGTCTTGGTTATCCTGGAACTCCATTTGTAGACCAGGCTGATTTCAAACTCACAGAGACCCACCTGCTTCTGCCTCCCAAGTACTGGAATTAAAGGAGAGTACAGCCACTGCCTGGCTTTTGGTTCTTTTACAAGACAAGTTTTCTCTGTGTAGCCCTGGCTGTCCTGGAACTCACTCTGTAGACCAGGCTGGCTTTGAACTCAGGGATCTGCCTGCCTCTGCCTCCTGAGTGCTGGATTAAGGATGTGTGCCATTATGCCTGGCAGATTTTTTTTTTTTTATGTGTTTAGATGTTTCAGTTTTAAGTATGTCTGTGTACCTTATGTGTATGTTGCCAGAAGAGGCTGGAAGAGGGTGTTAAAAACCCCTGGAACTAGATATGCAAATGGCTGTGAGCTGCTGTGTGGGTAGTGGGAATTGAAGCCAAGTCCCTGGAAGAGCACCTGGTTCAACTGCTGAGCCATCGTCTCTCTGGCCCTATTTATTTTATTTTTCAATTAGTATACAAGTTAGTAGATTTCACTTCTCCCCACCCTATACCCTCCTGCCTCCAAGAGTCACCTACCATTTTAAGGTGTGGCTTTTATTACCTTGCCTCTCTTCCTTCAAACCTCTTTATCTAGGCTCTCAAGTTGGCCCAGCAGGTAACGGTGCGGGCCACACAAACCTGGCAACCTGAGTTTGATTCCCAGAATCAAATAAAGGTGGAAGGAAAGACCCAACTCCTCAGACCTGTCCTCTGACTTCCATATCCATCCTGTGGCACATGTCCCCCTCCCCCATCACACACACACACATTCTCTCTCTCTCTCTCTCTCTCTCTCTCTCTCTCTCTCTCTCTCTCTCCATATGTGTATGTGTATATGTATATTAAAAGCTTTTAAAAATTTTTATTTACATGTGTGTTGTGTCCACAGGTGTCTATCTACATGTGGACACTTGAGGACATAGAGTCAAGAGGCCAGTGGATCCTCGCAGCTGGAGTCACAAGCCACCTAAAGTGAGTGCTGGGAAATGAACTTGGGCCCTCTTGAGGAGCAACAAGTGCCCTTAAACCATGGAGACATCTCTTCAGTCACCCAAATTTTTTTTTTTGTTTGTTTTTTTCACAAATAAAAATTTTTTTAAACTTTTTTTTCCAGTTGTGGTGGCACATGACTTTAATCCCAGCATTTAGGAGACAGAAGCAGTCAGTTCTCTGTGAGTTCCAGGCCAGTCTAGTTTTCCAAGTTTCAGGCCAGCCAGATTTACACACTGAGACCCTGACTTTATTATTATTATTATTATTAAATTGTTTCATTCATTTACATTCCAAGTGTTGCCTCCCTTTCCTGTCTCTTCCCTCACCCCCGAGGAGTTCTCCACCCAACTCCTGTCCCCTTTACTTCTGAGAGGGTGCTCCCCACCCCCTACCTCACCCAGGCCAGCATCCCTCTTCCTGAGGGCATCAAGCCTCTACAGGATTAGGCTCATCCTCTCCCACTGAAGCCAGATAAGGCAGTCCTCTGCTACCTATGTTCTGGGGGTCACAAACCAGCCTGTGTATGGTCTTTGGTTGGTGGCTTAGTCTCTGGGAACTCTGCGTGGTCCTGTTAGCTGATACTGTTGGTCCTCCTATGGGGTTGACACCCCCTTCAGCTCCTTCGATCCTTGCCCTAGCCCTCAGTCCAATGCTTTTTTTTACATTTATATTTATTGCCTGGGAGCTAATGATGCCATGTGCAGATCAGAGGACATTCCTGCAGGAGCCCTCTCTTTCCACCGTGAGGGTGCCAGGGATCAAACTCGGGATGTCAAGCAGGTGCCTTAACCAGCAGAGCCATTTTGCTCTCCCCAGCATCTGCATTCTTCAGAAGTAATAGAACACCAAAACCTGCTGAGTCCTGTTCTTTCCAGATCCCACTCCACAATGTGGAGAAACAGATTATGTTATCTCTACCGAACATACTGTGCTCTAGGTACCCCTTGGTCTATGAGGACCAAGCTGGGGCTCCAGAGTGAGGGCACCCTGCTTACAGACATTGTCTCCTGTGATCCCATGCTTAGGTCAGCCCCTATGCCTTGACCTGCAGGGTTTAGAGATTGATCTAACTGGGGTGATTGGAAGAAAGAGATGACAGACATACATAGAGACAAGGTAGGATCTGGTAAGCCCTGTGATCTAGTAGAGCCAGACTCTTAGAAACACAGCAGATTCCTTGTATCCAGCTGAACAGGGAGGCAGGTTTAGCTAACGTCAGTAGGAAGACTCAGTAGGGAGCTGTCTCAGGATGAAAACATCCAGAGGCTGTGCTCCACATTTTCTGCAAACACTGTCAACAATGGATGAGGGAAAGGCTCTGCCACCCAATGGGTCTGGGGCACTAGGGTCCTCATTGTAGCCACTCACTCATTCACTCAGGACTTCCTCTGCTCCCCACATCCCTGCCCTTCTGTGCCCTTCATTCCATGCAGGAAGCTTTCTCAGCCTGTGACTAATTCTCTGGGTAAAAAAGGCTAGTCAGGGTAGTGGATGTCACTAGGGTATGCAGAAAAATGTCTGACAAGGTCCTTGGTTGCACCATTAACTAGTTACTAGTTTCTTTGATGTGACTATGCTTCACACTGGCTGATTTCTGTATTTTGGCTTCCTCTCTCCCTCTCTCTCTCTCTCTCTCTCTCTCTCTCTCTCTCTCTCTCTCTCTCTCCCCCTCCCCCTCCCTCCCCCTCCCTCGCACTCTCTCTCTCTTTCTTTCCTTCCTTTCTTTCTTTCTTTCTTTGTTTTTGTTTTTGTTTTTGTTTTTTCGAGACAAGGTTTCTCTGTGTAGCCCCAGCTGTCCTGGAACTCACTCTGTAGACCAGGCTGGCCTCGAACTCAGAAATCCGCCTGCCTCTGCCTCCCAAGTGCTGGGACTAAAGCCGTGCGCCACCACTGCCCGGCTCGCTCTTCCTTCCTTCCTTCCTTCCTTCCTTCCTTCCTTCCTTTCTTTCTTTCTTTCTTTCTTTCTTTCTTTCTTTCTTTTCTTTATTTCTTTATTTCTTTCAGATAGGGTCTCATGGCTGTCCTGGACCTCACTCTGTAGACCAGGCTGGCCTCAAACACATAAAATCTGCCTGCCTCTGCCTCCTGGGTACTGGGATTAAAGGCATGTGCTACCAAACCCAGATGAGACAGTGTCTCTCTACACAGCTCTCACTTTCTTGGAACTTACTCTCTAGACCAGACTGGCCTTAAACCACAGAGATCCACCCGTCTCTGCCTCCGGGATGCTGCAATTAAAGGTTATGCACCACAGTGCTCATCTCTCCTGTTTCTTTAATCTCTTACATTGAATGGTTGGTTGTATGTTTGTGTATGCATACAGGTGTATGTGTATATCTCTGTGTGTGGAGGCCAGAGATCAACCTTTGAGGATGTTCTTCAGGAGCTGTCTGCCTTGTTTTTTGGTTGTTGGGGCTTTTGCTTTATTTGTTTAATCTATTCATTTATTTATTTTTTGGGGTAGTGAGGCAAGGAACAGTGTATTTGGAAGTCAGAGGACGTCTTATGGGAGTCATTCTTCTCTTTCCACCAGGTAGGTCTTGAGGATCAGGCTCAAAAGAGCCCTTGCACTTGTAGACAAGCATTTTACTGCCTGAGCTAACCTCTAGGTACCTGTTATAAATCTTGTTAACAGCCAGGAGGTGGTGGTGCTCGCCTTCAATCCCAGCAATTGGGAGGGAGGCAAAACCAGGTAGATCTCTGTAAACTCAAGGGCAGCCTGGTCTACAATGAGTTCCAGGACAACCAGCTCTACACAGAGAAATCTTATCTCAAACAAACAAACAAGCAAACAAACAAAATCCTGTTAGCAGGGCTGGGGTTGCAGCTCAGTTCACAGAGATCTTTGCTTAGCTTGTGAAAAGTCCAAGCATATATCCATTGTTGTAGTGCACGCCTGTAATTCCAGGACAGAGACAGTGCGATCAAAAGTGGAAGGTCCTCCTCAACTCTGTACTGGGGCTGGGTGGTGGTGGCACACGCCTTTAGTCCCAGCACTTGGGAGGCAGAGACAGGCGGATTTCTGAGTTCGAGGCCAGCCTGGTCTACAAAGTGAGTTCCAGGACAGCCAGGGCTACACAGAGAAACCCTGTCTTGAAAAACCAAAAAAAAAAAAAAAAAAAAAAAAAACCTGTACTGGGTTTGAAGCAAGCCTGAATGCTAAGACCTTGCCTCAGAACTAAACAAAAACCAGAATACCAAGTTCCTGCAGTCCTTTGTAAGACCCTGGACCCTGGCTGCTTGAGACATTTTAGGAGATAAACAAGGAGTTTATAACTTAGCTTATCATATTTCTTGCCTTAGTTTTCGAATGCTAGAGATCAAACCCAGAGCCATATGAATACTGGTAGGCAGGCATTTTATCAGTGAACAACATTCTGGCCCTGTTTAAATCTTTAGTTAAGGCATGAGGAGAGTGTGTCTGTGGGGTTTCCGTATGTGATATGTGTGTATAGAGAATTTTTTTCTTTTCTTTTGAATTTCTTTTTCCTTTTTTGTTTGTTTGTTTGTCTTTTTAAATGATTTCTCTGTGTAGTCCTGGCTGTCCTGGAACTCACTTTGTAGATCAGGTTGGCCTTGAACTTGAACTCACAGAGATCTGCCTGTCTCTGCCTCCTGAGTGCTGGGATTAAAGTGTGTACCTCCACTTCCTGGCTTAATTCCATCATTTTTTTTTTTTTTTTTTTTTTTGGTTTTTCGAGACAGGGTTTCCCTGTATAGCCCTGGCTATCCTGGAACTCACTCTGTAGACCAGGCTGGCCTGGCCTCAAACTCAGAAATCCACCTGCCTCTGCCTCCCAAGTGCTGGGATTAAAGGCGTGTGCCACCACTGCCTGGCTATGAGTATAGGTTTTTGCCTGCATGTATGCATGTCTGTTGTTGGAGAAGACTAAAAGGAGGTATCAAATCTCCAGGAACTGGAGTTACAGACAGTTGTGAGCCACCATGTGGGTGCTGGGAATCAAACCCAGGTCCTCTGCAAGAGCAGCCAGTGCTCTTACTAGGAGAGCCATTTCTTCAACCCTGGACTTTTATATTTTTATTTATTTCTTCCTCTAGATTCTACAGTTCCACAAACGTCTCAAACAGGATGCTTGTCCTTTCAAACCTGGTGTATTTATTTAAACAGTGATCTCTACATCTGTTGCCCTGTGGTATTCTCTCAGGAGAGGAAAGAATAAGTCTATCTGAATGACAAGTGTGGGCCAACAGCACTAGACACTTTATGGCCAGATTATCAGCAGGGCTTTATCCAATCCTTAGAAGCATACTGGGATAAATAATCAGGAGTTCAAGGCCAGCCTAGGCTGTTTAGCAAGACCCTGTCTCAAAAAAAAAAAATACTCTCCTCCCATCCTGCCAAAATCAGGAGTGTAGCTCAATATAAAACACTTGCTTAGCATACGTGAGATCCTGGGTTCACTCCCTAGCACCATACAGACACAGGAATAAACTGGCCATAGCAGAGGCAGAGGCAGGTGGATCTCTGTGAGTTGAAGGCCAGCCTGATCTATATAGTGAGTTCCAGGCTAATGAGGGCTACATTGTAAGACCCCCATCTCAAACAAATAAACAATAATAACACATGAATAAATAAATAAGTAAAAAAATAATAACTCAGAAGAAGTTTCTAGTATTCAACCTGCTCTAAAAATCTATGAAGTGATGCTTTGGAATGCATAAACGACTCTCATGCATTTTCATTTTGAATGGATATCTGTGTTAACATTCTAATTTATATAAGAATTCAATAATATTGATAACAGTTAGCAATATTTGTAACATTGGCATTTGAATAGTCAGCAGGATTGTTTGGATTCTCTCCAGGGAAAAGCTGAGTTCAACCTTTTCTTCTTCGTCGTCGTCTTGTTTGAGATGGGGCTTTATTCTGACCAGCTGGCCTGGAACTCACTATATAGATCAGGCTGGCTGTGAACCTGCAGCCATCCTTCCAGCTCTGCCTCCTGAGTGCTGGAACTATAGGTGTGGTTCACTATGCCTGGCTTCATTCTTTTTTCAAGGAGTATTCAGTTAAGAAATGTGTGTGGCTAGGCATGGTGGTGGGTGCCTTTAATCCCAGCACTCAGGAGGCAGAGGCAGGCAGATCACTGAGTTTAAGGTCAGCCTGGGTCTACATTCAGAGTTCAGGACATCCAGGGCTACACAGAGAAACTCTGTCTCAGAAAAAAAATAGATAAATAAATAAATGTGTGTTGTGATCCATTTCCCAGTTCAGTTTCTTTCTCTCTGTTCAAATATGTTTTGATGACTCACAAAGTACAATAAAGTGAGCAAAAGATAATCCAGGCATGGAGTGTAACAAGTATTCTCTTTTATTAGAAAGAGAAATATCTTGAGACGATCTGGGGAAAAACCTGCCATCAAGTCTCCATCATTAGTGAAGAACAATAAGAACAACGGTGTGCCACAGGCAGGAAGCTTTGGCAAGCAACACAGGTGATCTGTAGGTTCATTGCATCTAGAGGCAGCTACCCCGATTGCAGCATCCCTGCCGCAGGATCACAGGCCACTGCGTGTCTTCTGAGCAATTATCTGGTCGTCTTTACGGTGCTCACATTCTTCAGAGGAGAAGGGAAGGTGGTTATCACGGGCAAGACAGGGCAGGGAGCTCAGACTGGAGATGGGGCGTCACTTGGCTTCTCATAAGGTTTCGCTCGGATTCTGTCTTCTGCAAAACCAATAGCCAATGCAAAACGTTATTACCTACCTCTGACAGCGTGTGATACTCTTTTTATTGTTTGTTTGTGGTTTTTGTTTCGTTTTGTTTGCAAGACAGGGTTTCTTTGTGTAGCCTTGGCTGTCCTGGAACTCTCTCTGTAGACCAGGCTGGCCTCGAACTCAGAAATCCACCTGCCTCTGCCTCCCAAGTGCTGGGATTAAAGGTGTGTGCCACCACCGCCTGGCTGAATTTCTTACCATAGTAAAAAAGAAAAATCTCAATGTTGATCTTCCAAATTAGACAAGGCTTTCTAAAGAAGCCAGAGCATATTTTACCTTTTCTGTTTTCACTACTTTTCTTAGCTATGTATGCATGCATGTGTGTATGTGTGTTCAGAGGTCAGAAGACAGCTCACGGGGATCAGTTCTTGCCTTCCACCATGTGAGTTCCAGGGATCGAACTTTGGTTATTGAGCTTGGCGGCAGCACCTTTATTCACTGAGCTATCTCATTTCCCTGTCTTTTATTTTTATTTTTAACAGGACCAGGCTGGCCTCAAACTGTCCTCTGTCCTCAGCTTCCCAAATGCTAGAATTATAGGTATATCCAGGACTGGTTCTTGTTACATTTTATTTTTTTAAAATGTATTTTATTTGAGAATGGAACCCAGGTCCTTGCAAGAACTACAAATGCTATCAATCACTGAGCCATCTCTCCAGCTCCCCTTATTTTATGTTTCATTCTATGCATGTCTGTGGGTTTGTGTATGGGAGCGCTGCTGCTGGGTGGAGACATCAGAAGCCCTGGAGTTACAGAGGAAATGGAGTTACATGTGATTCTATGCCACTGTGTGGGCGCTGGGAACCAAATCCAGGTCCTTTGCAAGAGCAGCCAGTGCTCTTAGCTGCTGAGGAGCCACCTCTCCATCCCCTGTTGCTATACTTTAATGTTACTATTCTGTGATTTTTCAAATGTGTTGTGAACTATTCTGCTGTCTGAACCATTGTTGGACACCAAAGCAACAGAGTTAGACGGCAAGAAAGAGGCACCCGTTCTTAGATAACATCCAGAACTGGCTTTGAAGGAAAAGAGAAAGGAAGAAGAGGGGGCTGGAGAGATGGCTCAATGGTTAAGAGCACTGACTGCTCTCCCAAAGGTCTTGAGTTCAATTCCCAGCAACCACATGATGGCTCACAACCATCTGTAATGGGATCTGGTGCCTTCTTCTGGTGTGTCTGGAGGCAGCTGCAGTGTACTCATCTATATTAAATAAATAAATAAATCTTTTAAAAAAAAAAGGAAGAAGAGTGAGAAAGAAAGGACTGAGTGATGCAAAGCTGAAAGCGCTGGGCAGATCCGCCTGGAGCTGAGAATGGAGGAGCCGGCTGGAGAGCAGAGAGGTGAGTCACAGGATGAGAGGGAACAGGGGCTGCTCTGCTCTGCTTCCAGCGCCTGCATGGTGGCTCATGACCGTCATAACTTCAGGGCATCTGGTCATTTCTTCTCACCTCCTCAGGCACCAGGACACACATGGTGCACATGCATACAGGGAAAACATCCAAATACACAGGATACAATAAATAACTTAAAAAACTATCACTAAGTCTGGCCTGAGGGAGCAGTCTGTGATCCTGGCATTCAAAGAACGAGGGGAAAGGTCACTTGAGCCCAGAAAACACAGTAAAATCAGCAAAAAGGGAAAATAAAAATTAATTAATTAATTAAAGGGGCTTGTAAGGTCACTTAGAGAGTAAAAATACTCGCTGTACAAATCTGACAACTGAAAGTTTTTCTTTTTCTTTTCTTTCTTTCCATTTTTCACTCTCTTTCTTTCCTTTCTTTTTTCTTTTTTTTTGAAATGTGGTCTCCCTACCATGGCTGTCCTACCAAGCTGGCTTCAAGCTCACAGAGAACTGCCTGCCTGTCCTCTGAGTGCTGGGATTAAAGGCATGGGCCACAATGCCTGTCTGACAATTGGAATTTGATTTCTAGATCCCACTGTTGAAGGAGAAAATCAATGGCTTTGACCTCCACACTTACACTATCGACCATACATCCAAGTTTCACACACACAAACACACAAGTATAGTAATAACAATAATAATAAAATGGGAAGGTGGGACTGGAGCGCTGGCTCAGCAGTTTAGAGCAGAGCAGGTGCTGCTCTTTCAGAGGCCCCAGCTTTGCTTCTGAACATCCAAATAAGGCAGTTCACAATTGTCTGTTCATTCACCTCCAGGGGGTTCTATCCCTCTGGCTCCTGCACTTGTTCACACACATGCACACACACACACACACACACACAGATACATACACTGACATACACACACAGAGACACACACTCAAGCATGTGTACACATGCCCCCCCCAAACACATACATGGACACACACATAGACATATACATTGGCACACTCACAGACACACATATGCATACACACACACATATATGCACACAGACACAGAGACACACAGAACACACACAGACACATGGGCACGCAGACAGACACACAGACAGACACAGAGACACACACGTGGGGACACATATACACATACACACACAAACACACACATAGACACACACACACATGCCCCCCCACACACACTCCAACCCTTCTCACTTTCTCCGACACTGATTTTCTCTGACAATTCATGAGAATACACATATACCTAAAGATCTCATTCCCAAGTGAACCCCATAAACCAGGTATGGTTGGACAGACCTGTAGTTCCAGCTCTCAGGAAATGGGATGGGGCCAAGTCAGGAGAATTCCCATGAGTTTGAGTTTAGTCAGAACTATAGAGTGAGATCTAGGCTACCTTTTGCTACAGAACAAGTTTGAGGCTAGACCAGTCTACGTAGCAAGTTTTAGACCAGTCAGGGCTATATAGGGAGACCCTGTCTTAACAACAACCAAGAAAAAACAAAATAAAATAAACAAAAAGGAAAAAAAGGAAAATGTATATATATGCATATGTGTATATATGTGCATGAAAATGACCTATGTAACCCAGTGTAATAAAATTTAAAAATAATAAAGTATTGGCTCACATAATTGTTAAACTAGGAGAACAGCCTCAGGCATAGCTGGATCCAGGTGTTCAAATGCTGTCAGCAGCAGCTGTTCCCTGGACTCTGTTTTCTTTAGCTGTCCCTCTGTTCTCAAACAGGCTGTGCCAAATTATTTGTCATCATAGCTAAAATCCGAGGCCAACCCAGAGTCTGATCTTCTCAGTCTTCAGCGACGGCCATGGCCTTTGTCCTCCAAACACCCAATCTCATCTCCAAACAGTGCTCTATTTTATACTTCTTAAACATATATTTATTTGGGGAGCAAGTATGAAGGGCAGCGGACAATTTTAGGGAGTCAGTACTCTCCTTCCACCGTGCCGAAGATCCCAGGGATCAAACATAGGTCATCATCAGACTTGGTTGGCCGCAAGCCCCTTTAGCTGCTGAGTCATCTCCTTCACAAAGGGAGCTAACAAAGCGGATCAGATCTTATGACAACACTGCACCAAACATACATCCCCCCCCCTCACACTCGCACACACACACACACACACACATACACATATTTTATTTTTTTTTAATTGAAGACAGGATCTAGAGTATTCTAAACTGGCTTAGAAAACTTGCTGCAAAGCCTGAGGATGGATGGTTTTGAATTTCTGATCCACCCAAGTGTTGGGATTACAGGTAGAGCTTGCTTTTCCTTTGTTTGCATTTCTTTCGATGTTTGTTTTTGTTTTGCTACCAGTTCACTTCTAATCATGTTGGGCAGCCTGGAACTCATTTATGTAGTCCAGGCTGGCTTTGAACTGAAGATCTCTGGGCCTCTACCCCTCTTCTGCTGAAAACATTTGAAAAGCTTCTCGTTGTAAAATCCAAAGCCCTTCATGGCACAACCTGCTTCTCTGCCTTCTACCCTCTGTACTGTCTTTCCTCCAGTGTGATTGGGGTGTCCCTCCATTCCTGGTGCTAACTCCTCCCCTTCATTGACGACTCCATTCCTCTGGACATTATCTGTAAGTGGCCATCCAGAGTTCTCTGGCCACACAAGTCCAGGGATGGCTTTCATTGGTCTACCCTGGCTCGCTACTCCCCGGAACAGCCAGTCACTGTTGCCAAGGGGCTGACACATTCTGACTGGTTTGGCCTGAGTCATCTGCCCTGGAGCTGATGGAAGTGTGGGCTGAGTGGAGAAAGACGGGGATCCTGTTACCAGAAGGCTGAGGTAATGCTGCTCAACAAGAATAGCCGATGAGCGGCATCTTCAGTGCTTGCCCAGCAGCTGACAGACAGGAAGTGTTTAAAAAAAAAATCAGTGTGCCTTGCCTGTGGGAGCCCCAGGGGACCTTCCTTCACCGTCATTTATTCATTTTAACAAATTTTTATTGATACCATCCATTTACAGGCTTTATCCAAAGGGATCTGCTGCTCTCTTGAATTAAAATGTAAAAAAGTGGTGTGTGTAATCCCAGAACTCAGGGGTTAGAAGCAGGAGGATCAAAAGTTCAAAGCCAGGCTTAGCTACAGGAGACCCTGTCTCTAAATCAATACATAGGTAGACAGATAGACAGACAGACAGACAAAAAGGTTGGGGAAAAGTTCCCATGCCTTTAATCCCACCACTTGCGGGGCAGAGGCAAGCAGATCTGATATCTGTGAGTTCAAAACCAGCCTGGCCTACATATAATAAGTTCTAACCAGGACTACACAGTGAGATCCTACATAAAAATAAATAAATAAATAAAAATAAAGGCTAGGAGCTGAGACTTTCTGAATGGTGCCTAACATTTTTGTCTTATTTTTCTGTTGGTTCTTAAGTTTTCCTATATAATTTTCTTCGTCTGATCAGTTATGTCTGGTTTTGTCCAAAGGACTATTTTTTTTTAAAAATTTCCTTTCATTCCCTTCTCCCTCTTGCTCCAGCCCTGCTCACTCCTGCCCAAAGTCCACTGTAGCTGTCTTCAGACACCTATATAAGGGCATTAGATCTCATTACGGATGGTTGTGAGCCACCATGTGGTTGCTGGGATTTGAACTCATGTCC